AAACTTCATGTTTGGTGAAAACTTGAGCGATAAAGCTGATAAGCCAAAAATAGGGGTCACCAATGGCTTGAATGAACCATAATGCATTCGAATAGCTGTAGAACAAAAGCGGTAGAACAATATGAAAACCAGATACCTAAACCGGTCTAAAGGATTCATGAAGGGAATAGAATTATGTGTTCCTTTTTTGTTAGACTGTGATTGAGTCCATGATGTTTGCAGTTTTAGTTCTATTAAGGTTGACAAATTCAATTGGCAAAGTGGTAAAAAACATATGTAAGAATATTAATTTATCCGGTGCATTGGCTATCTTACTAGCATTAGGAAATTGAAGGAAAGAGTTGACTCTTCTTACCTAAGTTGTTATGCTCTCGAGAGCAAAGTAATTTTTTAAGATGACACACAGAAAAGGAAAATAGCAATGCCAATTTTTTTAACATTGATTGCAAGTGCAATTTCTCTGATTTTTTAAAATAAAAACACAAAATTTAAATCAAGAGTGATGAAATGACCTTTTAACAACACTGCAGGCATCAAAGTAGAGATGAAATTACTTTTTATTGAACCTATTGATGTTAAAAAAAAAGTGATGAAATTTAGAGAGATGAAAATGTAGATATTAAAATAAATCATTTTATGTCTCTTTTTGTGTTTAGAAAAATTGGGGAAAAAATCTCGTTTCTGTACTTGCATCAGTAAAAGATTTTAAACAGTGTCAATGGTATAAACATATTATAGATAGATTCAAAAAAAGTGAAAGAAAAACAAAGAACATGAAAAGATGGAATGTACCTTCATGGTGATACTATTCCAAAAAACAGAGCATGGTGCATGGAGAACTCCCAAGAAGAAAAGGCATGCTAGCAAAAAGATCATGAAAAGCATCAAGTCCATACATGTTAAAGTTTCAACTTAAGTTTCCTTATTAGTTATTACAAAAGTAGAAAGGAAAAAAGTAGACAAACCGGTAAAAATAGCATTTCGTGAAAAGGAAAAATATACCATTTGCATCATAATTCATAAACGACACCGGCTCCAATGAGATTGTTTATACACTACATCTGCCAGCACATTTCTTGTAAGAAAGTAGGGTTGTAAACGAATCAAATAATTTGTGCTCGATTCGCGATTCGAATCCGTATAAGACGATTCGAATTCAGAAAATTCAAATTCAAATACAAATATGAATATTAAATTTGATTCGATTTGTTATCAAATACAAATAAGAATATCAGTGTATTTGATTCGAATATTAATCAAATATATTCGACTAATAATAATGATAATATTATTAATAATAATATTAATAATAATAGTAATAACACTATACTAACTTTTAAAAGATAGCAATAGCCTATAGTGTAGTTCATATATACATTTATGCATACAAATTCTAAGTCCATTTGTAATAAATCAAAGTATAAATACGAATACAAATCGGATTTTTGGTTCAAATGTCTTTCAAATACAATACAGATAATTATATATTCGATTCGCAGAATAAAAATAGAGTCATCTGATTTTGATATATACAATTATCAACTTATTTCACACATTATAAGTGTAATTTCTAATATGTGTGTGTTAGTGTTTATTTCAAAAAGTTTGAAATATATTTATATTTAAAAATGCACAATCTAAAAATGCATTGATCCATTGAATTTAAATTCTAAAAGCACATATTAAATCATAGCGTACATTTGCAACATAAAAAAATATAAGAAAATTTAATTTTAAGTGATATTTGACTAATATATAACATATGCTCAAATCTATTCGATATTCATATAAGATTCGTTAACTATTCGTATTGTTAAACAAATACAAATACAAATCGAAATTAATATAATATCGTTTCATATTTGAATTCGAATTCGTATTCAAAAAAATTAAACAAATACAAATACAAAATTCCACTATTCGACTCGATTCGGCTCGTATACAACCCTATAAGAAAGTATCATCACATGGATATGAAATTAACAGCAACTTCCGTTGTAGACCTGCAAGAAATCACATGGATTCAGGACCATTGGTCAAACTGGGTCAAGTATGAATGCCCTATTTGAACAACTATCCGAAATATTGAACTATATGATAAATATGAATTTTAAAATTGATCGTGAGTTACTAAATATATTGTTACAATATGAATATTCAAATGTATGTTTCACATATTTTAAACTCCGTTCATATAAAACCCTAATTATTTTGCCCAATAGGCCGCAACAATTCAAAATGCAATTGAACTATATGATCGAAGTTAATTATAAAAAAATGATCTTGAGTTAATTAATATATCACTACAATATGAATATTCACATGTATGGTTGACATGTTTTAGGCTCCGCTCATAAAAAATTCTAATTTTACCCAGTAAGGCCACAACTGTTTGAAACACAATTGAACTATATGATGGACGTGAATTGTAAAATTGATCCCGAGTTACTTAATATATATTGATAAAATATGAATATTGACATGTATGTTTGACATGTTTTAGGCTCCACTCATAGAAAAAAACTCCACCGGGAACTGCCCCAAATCGCGACGGCCGGACAGAACCTCCTATAAAAGGACTTAATTGACCTTTTTATGAAAGTTCGAGGACCTATTTGACAGTTTTTCGTATAGTCCAATTACGTTTCAGATAGTTGTAGCCTTATTGGGTGAAGTTAGAGTTTTCTATGATTGGAGCATAAAACATAATAGTATTAAGAACAAATGTGAGTATTCATATTGTATCAATATCATAAACCCTTTGAATAACATCAATACCCTACGCCCCTGGTAGTAGGTACTCTTGGAGAACAAGCAAAGCTAGCTATTGGCCAATATTAAGCATATGCACATTTTTGGCAATAGGTGTGTATATATAAGTGTGTCATGATGCGTCAATGCGACACATGTGTGGGACATGATGACTTTACCCTTAATATAATATAAAAAAAATGTATATGTTCAAATAACATATTTTATCTTAATATTGCGTTTAAGGTACATATTCATAAGTAATATTGGTGGGGGAATTGTTTAGAAGCCTAAGCTACTAAGGTCAATTTATGACTTCTAAAGACATTTTTGTACCTAAAATATCAGGGCATATGCATTTGGAGACAAAAAACATTAAATTTTATTCTCGAAAGTGTTTGAGGTTCGCTTACATGAATCATCATATATAATTTCAGAGTTAAAAACTCTAGATAGAGAAAGAAGAAGGCAAACAATAAAGAATCACTCTCCACATGAATCATCATATATAATTTCAGAGTTAAAAACTCTAGATAGAGAAAGAAGAAGGCAAACAATAAAGAATCACTCTCCACATGAATGTTCTCTCCCTTCAATTTCCCTCTCCAATCTAATTCATGCGTGTTTAGGTTGTCCCCTCCCTCTCCTCCCTCATCTCCCCACCACTTAATCCATCTAAGAGGTCTACAACTCGATCTTCTACACAAATGACCAAGTCAACGCAACCAAGACTTTCGTATATTATCTTCATTTGGATATAAGCATTACTTGTTTTATTCTTTTGACATACTTGGTAGATAAAGCCACCTGTTATTCTTAGAACTTCAGAATCTAATCAAACAACTCAAGTTCAAATCCAGCTAAGGATACCAAGTTTACTCGAATCACTTAAATACTTAATGGTCTTTCATTTCATAATGTGATGCAGTTGTGACCCTCTCCTATCTTAGTATATTGTGCGAATTCTAATTTATTAAGATCTATTATGGACATACGTGTAAAGACATTATGCATTATACAATGAATTACTCCGTATTAATTATGTGTTAAACTCTTTCACCAAAATTCTAGGAACACAATAAAGATGGGGATCCTCGGGGTATTCTGCAAAACTGAAAACCTTTTTTTGTGGGGGAGAGGTGAGAGGGCTAAAATGTGGTTCTGATAGTTTTGCTCCCTGGAATTTTGGATCTTTGGATGATTCATTTATCTGACTAGCTGAGAGCCTGGGAATTAGTCATATGCAACGAAAGAAAACTAATTAATGCCTTTTTTAACCTTCCAAACCAAGAAACGAAATTAACAGAATCTGACATTCCCCTCCAGACAGAGTTTTCCCTTGATCTTATTTGTGTTTTGCTCTTTTTGGTTAGATTAGCAGAAACTAATTGAAATGTCAGAAAGAGACGACGAAGTTGGTTCTGAAATTTCAATGGAGGATGCTCATGACACACATCATATACGCCCAGCTTCATCTGACGCTGATGGCAATATTCATGTTACCAAACAAAGTACGGATTCACCACCAAAAAAGGGACGCCTTTTCGGCCGGCAGAAACCCGTCCATGCCGCCCTTGGCGGTGGAAAACGTATGTTTTTTGTCGCACGTACCACATGTCCACATCCTAGCATACCTTAATAAATTCGTGTGATCTCATCAATGGATATATTTTATAACAGCTGCTGATATAATATTGTGGAGGAACAAGCAGATATCAGCAGGAGGTCTTGCAGGTGCAACTGTTATATGGCTTCTGTTTGAGTGGATCGGCTACCATGTTCTTACTTTCCTTTGCCACTCCCTTATACTTTCCCTGGCAATCATGTTTTTGTGGTCAAACCTCTCCTCCTTTGTGAACAAGTAAGTTAACACTTGTGATCTGGAGATCTTATCTATGGGTTGCCCTTTTGACTCCATATTTTGTCATAATTTCGGTTTCGTGCCAAGGTTGTTCAAATTCTATTTAATTGGCCAGATCAAATCACAAATCATTAGATTCATTGAAAATATCAATATTGCAAGATATTTACCGTTTTATTAAGATTATACATGATTTCATACTATCTTGCACGTGATCTGAATCAATTGATCATCTCGGATCACAAAACTGTACGATTTTACAACACAACACAGCAGAACATGGTTTTAACAACCTTACAGCCTTACTAGCATCCCATGTTTGTTTTCTTTGAACAAGTAAACTAGGATGGGTATAAAGTAAAATATTATGGTAAATCATGGTGCAAAGTTTAATGAATGGGCAAAGTCTATTAGAAATATATGTGGTGCAAAGACGAACTGGGACATGATTTGCAAAACCCAACTTTTACATGTATATAATACGGAGTACATGAGAAGAGAACCCATTGACATGCTCTCAGTTTTCTTTTTCTTGGAATGACTTTTATTTACAAAATATGATATTGTTTGTAAATTGTAAGGACTCCACCGGACTATCCAGAGATCGTATTGCCGGAGGATATGTGTAGGCAAGCAGCTTTGTTGGTGAGAGATAAGATCCATTGGGCTATTGGTCTTTTCCGAGAAGTAGCTTCCGGGAAGGATTTGAAGAAATTCCTATATGTATGCAACTTCTTTTTCCCACCCATTTATCATCATGTTAACTACACACATTGACACATACACAAGCAGCTGCGGTTTACAACAAGCTTATATTTGAAATGTAGGCAATTCTGGGCTTGTGGATAGTTTCTACCATTGGCAGCTGGTTCGACTTTCTCACCCTAGTATACATCAGTGAGTTTCTCTTACTCTTCCTCTTACCATTCATAGGTAAGTAAGTCTAACAATCACTAAAGGCCCTTGCCAAACAGGCTCTAAGAGAAGTAATGCTCATTTTGTTACTTAATAGCTTAATACTGAGGAAACTGACTTTCCTGCCTGTGTTAACTGGGCAGTATTTGTTATGCTGTTGACTGTACCTATATTCTATGAGAAGCATGAAGATCAAGTTGATGCTTATGCTCACAAAGCAAAGAAACAATTAAAGAGGCAGTACAGTCAATTGGATGAAAAGGTTCTTCAGAAACTACCAAAAGTTCATTTCGGCAAAGACACAAAGGAGCACTGATCAACCTTGTCTTCCATTCATTTCTCAAATGGCTAATAGTATTTCTTTGTTATTCTAGTAATCTACCATTCTTCCTTTATTTATCTTTTAAAAAAAAGCAAATTGGAGGCACTAGTTTATTGTGTTAGCAGCGGTTTTTGTGTTACCATTCTTTTTGTACTAATACTAGTTTCACAATGTATCCTTGAAAGGGCAACATGTGTTTCTAACTCAAGTTTACAAAAAAAAAAAACAGATAATATCTAAAAAAACACATCTGGTGAGTGGTGACAAAAGGAAACAAGGGAACAATGTTATGGACTACTAAGTAGTACATTAAGATCCTATATGGAATAACTTATGGCATAAGTGCTTTTTTATTTAGGTTCTAAAGGTGCTTTTTTAAAACACCAATCTCCTACTTTCTTATAATATGTCGTGTGACTGAGAGGTAGGTCAAATCTTGGGAGCAGTCTCTTGCCAAAATGGCAAGAGAAGGTTAGCCACCGTTACAACCTTGTGGTGAGACCTTCCCTATCCTCACCTTGTGGGGATGCCATCATGCACTAGGCTGCCTTTTTAACACACTAAATCATTTTATTTTAACTCGTTCAAAAAGATGATTCATTGAGAGTGTGCAACTTGAGAGGTAGGTCAAATCTTGGGAGCTGTCTCTTGCCAAAATGACAAGAGAAGGCTTGCCACCGTTACAACCTTGTGGTGAGACCTTCCCTATACACTCACCTTGTGGGGATGCCATCATGCACCAGGTTGCCTTTTTAACACAATAAATCATTTTATTTTAACTCGTTCAAAAAGATGATTCATTGAGAGTGTACAACTTAAAGAAGTGTGTCTTCTTTAGAGGAAGCAGTTCAGCTCAGCTGATCCCCGACTCACTCTCCCTTATGGGAGGTCCCGGGTTCAATACTCAAAGGAGTGAGTTTAATCCCAATTTAGCCCAGGCCCCCCTCCCCCCGACCACCCTGGGGTAAAAAAAATGCAACTTCTTTAAAATCCAATCATCCCAATTACATAAGAAAAGATTGAGAAGCTACAACTACCAATAAGTAGAAACGAATTGCAATACAATAATACAAATGAAACAGAAGAAACACAAGTCAGATACAAATTTCACCTGCAGGCTTTTGCTGCCTTTCAACATTTCATCTCTTCGTATACACTAACTTTGGAGTACTAGGTTGAGGTTCTGATATTTTACCAACTCCCTTAACAAACAATTGCTCACGAGTTTTTGACATCATACTACAAAGTACAAAAATCTTGGATGACTCTATTCATACCTTTTGAGTTTGAGATTCTGGAAGCAAAAAGGGGTCCCACCATCCAGACTTATACTTAGGGTATGGTGCAGTCCAATTCTCTGGTTTCTCAAACTCAAGTTTGACAGGGGAAGAAGCCAATGCTTCTTCTACACTATCAGCCTCAAAACAGTCTTGTAAAACTCTATCTAATCTTAGTTTCATGAACCTGCAAAAGATAGACAAAACAATGTATGAGACATCGCAGGCTATGGCACATTTGGAAAGGTTTATTTGGCTGTAATGGCTAAATCTTCTGAGTTTCTGAAAAGAAAAGTGATTGATGACACCAATTTCAGCCAAACAAGAAAACCAAAGACTACTATTATTCCACTGAATAAGTCAATTCAAGCTACCATACATCGACAATAATTGTGTCCTTCACTCACAATTCAATTTATGATTTTTTTAAAAAAAATATTTAAAAAGATGATCATTACTTGATCCAGGGGCCATTGGTAGAAACTAGAGCCACTGCAGGTCTCTTTAGTCTCTTTGTAATGACAGGAAATTGATCCAAGAACTTAGGCTCAATAACAAGCCAGAAATCTTGTTCCTTTCCACATTCACCATAATACCTAAGACGCTCAAACAATTGCTCCTGGAAATGCTCCTCTTCATCTAACATGAATTTTGCATTCGCAACAACAAAATAATACTTCTTCCTTTCTGTTTCTTTCTGCAAATAAAAGAACCACATTTTGGCTATCAATACTCAAACAGACAAGCAAACAGATGCTGAGAGATTACTTCGGAGCATCATTCAAGAACATATAAGCAGTAAGGCTACTCAGAGATGAACAGATCTTCACCAGTTTTATTTTAGCATAAGTTAGTTAGATTTCCGAGCAGTCTAGAAGATTGGGTCCAATAAGTTTTTAATTCACAGGAAAATAATAAACCTGTTCGGATATCAACCCTAACGATTTAGAAAAGACGGGGACTTTATTTTATCAAAGTAAAAAAGAAATCCAGGTATCCTCTAGATAAAAGGGGGCAAACCTTTACCGCAGTATCAAAGGATGATTCGACAGCGGCTACGGCGGTTTTAACACAAGTTCTTGAGCGCTTCAGCAAAGCGTGTGGCAGAGCCAACAATGGCAAGGAGCGAAACCCAAACTGCGAAGAAAGCTTACGAGAGTTGTGTGCTGGAAAATCCTTCACGGAAACGGCGGCGAAAGAGCTTAGATTCAAGGCAGTTGAAGCTAGCATTGCTGCGAATTGTCAGTGTGGAGGAGCTTTGCTGTGGCGTCTACAGTATTCTGCTTTGTGCCCGTCTAGTGCGACCATTAAACCAAAGAAGATAACAGCACAAGTTTATCAAAAAAAAAAGATAACAGCACAAGTAATTGGGGAAAAATTAACTGAGAGCAGCCAACCATATCTCCTCTTTCTGATTGCCCCCTTATCCAGGACCGGTCACCGAGGCAAATGTCCAAATATACTCTCATCCCTTAAAACTTTTTAGCTTTTCCATTTCTGGACATTCCAAAAAACTTTTGAAATAATGACCCCCATATGACTAGAAGTTTACGTGTTTCCCAATCTATGAGTTCAAACTTTTTTTTCCCAAAATGATATCTCATGCCTCGATTATCATCCTGCGGCCATTTAATGAAAAAAATATGTTCCCTTTTTACCCTCCTAAGTAAATCGTGTAAGTAGTAATTGGAATAGACATTTTTCGTTTTTTTAGCCACTGAAGAGACCACCCCGGAAGGTAAGGTAACCGTTTTCCATGTTTGTTCCCCTCTGCGTAAGGTAATTCTCTGCTACTCCCTCCTCATTCGTTTTCGTTAGTAGATAATGTCATGTATTGCACACACAAAAATTCATATTGCGCAATGTATTGCAAAAAAAACGGTTTTAATCTACAATCATTGCTTTTAAAATTAACTTCAGCACCACACTGTTAAAATTCCGGAAATTATTGCGCAATGTATTGCAAAAAAATAGTTTTAATCTACAATCATTGCACACAAAACAAATCATATTGCGCAATGTATCGCAAAAAAAATTGTTTTAATCTACCATCATTGCAGTAAAAAAAGTTTTAATCTATAATCATTGCAGTTAAAATTCTGGAAATTATTGCAATAAAACATAACAAAACTCACCACACTGTTGACTGTAACCTTCGTTGTTTCGTCTGGCCTTGCCGATTTACGGTCTGTTTGATATACGCTGGTTGGGGAAAATTAGTGTAGAAGGTTTAGGAATCCTTCCTTAATTGAATTAGTTACCATAACTGACCGGCCGAATTTTTAGCTCTAATCGTCATAATGAGGATTTTGAAAATTGAGAGAATCCTATTCTTTTGCTTCCCCCTATGCCCGTAAGTAGAGGTTAAATTGGTCTTTCAATGCAATCATGTAGCCATGTATCGTTTCAATTAATACACGGTTACTCATATATTGAGAAAAAAAGTGCATGAGTCATAGTTTGGGAAATGGGTTAAGTTATGGTCATATACCCGTATTTTTTCCAAAACTTTTTCACTTTGTCTTTTAATCACTTAATGTGTGGTTTCTGTTATTTCTCTCTCCTTTGCACAAATCTCAATCACACAGTTTTTACTTTATTATTCTTCGTGCCAATCAGATTTGACAAAATTTTAAGGGACAAAGGTGTTAGATCCATCTAGTATCTTTAAAATTTCGAAATGTGCAAAAATATTTTTAAAAACATACCACATATTTTTAAAAATATTGTCTTTCAAAGTTAATATTTTTTATTCGATCAATATTAAAGTTAAATCGTCCTTATTAATAACTAATTCAATTTTGTGGCATTTAAAGGCGGTCATCTCCCTACGAGAGTTAGGGCTTTCCTTCCGCTGAATTTTCATGCGGTATAATTTTGCGTTTCAGATTTCTCTCTTTGGTTTATTAGTTGCAGATTTTTGGATGTTCAATTTGATCGGTTTGCTGGTGTTCAAAGTTTCAAATCCATTTATTGGATCACTGTTTTCTTCATTCGTTGGCTTTGGTATCTTGGTGTGGCGGGCGAGCATCTTTTCTGGAGCAGGGGCAACGGTGGTGACAAGCTCGGAAGCATTTGCAAAGCGGCGGCGGTACCTTCGAAATTGGGAGATTTCAATGGCACACTTGGAAAAGCTGGCAATCTGAATGTGTAGGATCCTGAGAAAGAACTGACTTTTGACATGGCAATCGAATGGGTTGTGGCTGCGAGTTTGTATCGGTGATGGGTCTGACAACATTGATTGGTCGCTCCGATGGCGGTGGAGTTAGTATACACCCCTATTGCGAGAGCTCGTCCTCTTCCAAAACCTCCTCCGTACCAGGAAGAGTTTTGTGGAAAGTCCTTATTTCAATATTATTTTCTCTTTTTTATGGTAATTTTATTAAAAGATCGTTTGCCATTGGCTTACAATAGTATCGACTATAGAGTCAAAAATTAATTCTCTTTAGTGGTACTTGTTTTTATTTTAGTCTGAGTAAGTTTGCTTTGAATGTTTGTATTTTTGGAATTCTTTTGATAGGCAGAGTTTCGGTTCTAATCGTTTTAGGCCTAAATTTGCCCGTCTCAGGTTTAGCGAGTCAAGTTGTTTTGTATGAGGTGGCTGACTCTAAGACTACTCCTAGGGTTGACTATTGGGTCTGTAAATTCGGGTGTTTTACCAAAACACGGGAAAAGTTGGATGGGAGTGCCAAAATGCAGGGATTTTTCTAGGTTTTACAAAAAAGGGGGAGTCGGATTAGCCAATTCCGACTAGGGTTAGGGTTTTGGGGAAAAAAATTAGCCAATTCCGACAAGGAGTTTATATTTAATTTTTTTGGGCTGAATTCTTAACTTTTTTATTCAAAAAAAATAACTAAAGTTTTTTATATTTAACTTTTTGGCCAAATCCCCTACTCGGTTAAAAAAAAGTTTTTAAAACTAAAGTTTTAAATTCTATCAATTCCAAATTTAAAAGTTTTTTTAAATTCCTGTCATATTTTTTAAAATGAAAATAATGCATTTTTTTTAGTAACAAAACATTTGATTGCTTTATATTGTTTTCTAATCCATTTGTGTTGTGAAATTTTTTTAAGTGTAATTTTTGTAATTTTAAGTGCAATTTTGATTTAATCCATTCGTAAAATGAGATACAAATTTGAATGGGATTTAAGTGCAATTTTTGTAATTTTAATGGAAGTGAACAACACAACGAATAGACAGTGATTTATTAATGAATAGACAGTACATACGATATTAAATTTAATACTACATCTAACGTTGATTGCTCGGGCCTGCTCCGTCCCCGCCGCCAGTGTTCCAACTTCCAAGTCCCCGTTGTGTCTCCATAATAAAACGACGAATTCAGAAATGACTCAACATAATCATCCGCATGTGTGGAGTACTGATAAGAATCATAATACGGTGGTGGTTGATCAAATGAGACACCTTGATGAGTTGAGAATTGAGGGGGTGGTTGATCAAATGAAACACCTTGACGTGTTGAGAATTGAGGGGGCGATTGTGATTGTTCACCCCCACCTTCATGTTCATTTGCATCATCCTCTTGCTCGCTTCCACCTTCATCTTCATAATGGAATATGCCCCGGTGGAGCATGTCTTCATCACCTACGTCCAGGGCCATCCGTTATAGTCGTTTTTGACAGTCCTCATAACTCGCGCGGTTGGCTAAGAGATGATACATATCTTGAACGCCTTGCTTCTGCATAAAAATGTAACACGTGTAAATAATATGACACGATATATGTTAATGAATATGGTATGTATTCAAAAACTTACCACAATACCCAATCGTGTGATGTCGGGGTGTAGCATGTCGTGGGCACATTGTGAGAAGGGTTCTGGACACGTGTCATACCATGCTTCTTGTACCATTTTCGGTACCTTGTAGTTGCTTCGAGGGACATATGTTGCTCATAATCAAGAACGTATATATGATGTTGTATGTCCACCCACAACGTCAACGCACCGGCTACTATGTCGGAACGATTGCCGTGATTATCAGTACCCGACAAAGGATCATTTGGAGTATCTTTCCTTATATGGAACTGCCAAAGAAATCGATCGGGGTAATGCCTTTCGGCCATATTGCAAAATATGAGCATGACCTCAGCCGACCAAAGCGGAGCGTCATTAAGGATGATAGGTGGGAGTATCTCGGACGCGTAGGGAGTGAAATCAAACTGTAAAAAGTTTAATTTTCAATTTAAGAACTATAAAACAATATGTATTGAAAATTGAATAGTATGGTTGAAGTAAAAATTTCAAGTACTACCTGACTCTCACTCATGCGGTCTAGGCCCTAGGGCATCCCGGTACAAGCGTAAGCAGTGTCTTGGGGGATCTCTTATATGACATGGGGACGATCCACCTACATTTATTGATTACCAATATGAAGTTAAAAAATGTAACGTCATATAAAACATTCTCAATTATTAAGATGTAATTGCCAACATACCTACACCCATATGGAAGATGGTCATGTTGATCGAATGACCTGAAGTGCTGTGGGACGGAGTATCGAAATCCTCGACCAAGCCCAAATCTATAACAAGTGCATACAACCTCCAACTTGTTTGGTTTCCCACTTGGTGTCGTTACACAAGTTATGGTAGAGGTACCCAAGCACCGCTGGTCCCCAACTCCATCGACGGGCTAAAGCCAAGTCACCCTGCAAGACCTCCAAAAAGTACAATCGTATTCTTGCCCCACTCGTGTCAGGGAACAAAACCCCTCCAAGCAATTGCCATATTAGGGTCCTGGTGTGTTGGGTGACCTCTTCGTCTGTACTGTCAGGTAGGATCTCCTAACGGGTAACAACACTCATGGTGATATCACTTGTGCGCATATTAGTCTCTAGAGGAGTGAAACCACACGATTGCGTGCACAGGTCGATCCACTGAGCCTTACCCTTAACGGTTGGACCACTGAGGGGCATACCCCGAATGGGCAAACCAAGGACGATCGCCACATCTTGTAGACTAATGCCGACCTTACCGAATGGAAGATGGAAAGTATGTGTCTCCGGCCTCCATCTCTCCACCAAAGCGCATATTAAACTATGATCCACCTTCATACGGGCAATGTGTTCTACCCCCAAGAACCCAGCATATGTGATAAGTCCGTATTTAGACACGCATTTGATGCGTGTTGAGATCGGCTTTTGATGATTTTCCTAGTTTTAAGGTGTTACAAGTCTCAATTTTAGCTCAAGTTATGTTTACCGGGCGTTGGTTCGAGTTTTGTGTTGTTTGTAGTCAAAATCAGGGAATTTGAGCCCGGCACCGGCACTTGAGGAACAATCGGGATGATTTGAGAAGCATTTGAGAATGATTTGATAGCTTTGGAGGTAACCGGAAGATTCACGATGAAGATTTGAAGGAAAAAGAGCTCTAGGACTGGCTTCGGGATCAAAAGAAGATGAATGAAGCTTGA